AAGTTTCTAAGCAGAAAAGGGTACATTTGGTATCAAAATTACATCACAAATAACAATATTTTCAACCGTTATCACAACCCCAAACTTAGAACTTTGCTTGTCCTCAAGCAAAACAAATTGTAACTTAGCTTTTCAGAACAATCACTACAATGACTCAACATTTTTTCAAAAACTTTTTCTTCTAGGACAAGAGATCACTTTTATCAGCTCAGCATAAAGATATCAGTCAAGCAAGTTAACTTTGCCTTTCATTTAACCACAATCAAACATACTCACAAGCAAGTTTTCATCAAAAGGGCTTTTCATTGCTTGTAACTTGGCTGGGCTAAGAAGGAAATTGGTTTTTCTGGTCAGCAAAATCCTTGAGTTAAGAGAGACATTTATGATTTCATCATTCCCAACTTTTCCTTGCATTGAGCTTTTCTCTTCTTTTTATCTTTCTTTTTCTTTTTCTTTTGCTTTTCATTCATTCACTGCTTAGCTCAACGCTTTTTTCTTTTCCTTTCTCAATCTTTCCAGCAACCCAAAACTTGAACCTTTCTCAATACCTCACAAATGTTCTCCACTTAACTCAAGGCAAAGATTTTGACAAAGGGTTTTCAACACATGCATAAGGCTCAAGGTTCAAAGGTTAAATAAATTGTTTTCTCTTTGGTGGACAAAAATCATGTGGAGACTAAAGGAATAAGGGATAACAAAAATGACCTTGATCATATGAAACCTGCAAGCGAGTAGCTCAATCACAGAAATTTTGGGCAAAATCATTCATGCTTCCAAAGAAATAATAATTATTCACAAAAACTTTGAAGCACAAAACTCACAAATGTAAACTCACAAGTCCCAAAATTCATAAAAACACCCTACTTAGTATCTCAATCAAACTTTACCTCAAGCACCTGTTTCATACACTGTGAGCTATCACCTGTATATAAGCACATCATACATGATCTCAACATCAATCAATACACTTGAATATCACAAAGCAATACTCATCACAAAACAAGCATAGTTGAACCAAAGCAGTGTAGTTCATTCAAGCATAGTACAATAACACACAATTGATTAAAAGGAAAGGTTTAGAAGGGGGTTGCCTCCTAGTAAGTGCTTCTTTAACGTCGCTAGCTTGACACCATTAAACTCAATCTGGATCAACCAACTCCATGATTGTGGAAAGGCGTTGTACCTCACCACCCAAATAACGCTTGAGAAGTTGTCCATTGACGACCCAACTTCTTTGTAGGTCTTCAGAGGCTGGATCTGTCAACTCAATTGCTCGATGTGGAAGGACATTCTTGATCATAAATGGACTAGACCACTTGGACTTCAACTTTCCAGGGAAAATTTTTAGTCGTGAATTGAACAGCAGCACTTGGACTTCAACTTTACCAGCTTCCTGTCATGATAAAATTTCACCTTTTCTTTGTAGTTCTTTGAAGAATCATAGGCATGCAGCCGCATGTCCTCAAGCTCAATAATTTTCCTTCTCCTCTTTTCTGCAGTGTCACAAGGATCAAAATTGAAGAATTTTAAGGCCCACAAAGGTTGATTTTCCATCTTCACCGGAAAGTGACATGCCTTTCCATAGACCATTTGGAAAGGAGATAATATAATAGTTGTCTTCATTGCAGTTCTATATGCCCAAAGAGCATCATCTAACCTTTGAGACCAATCCTTTCTTGATGAAGCAACTGTCTTTTCTAGAATCCTTCTTATCTTCCTATTGGAAACCTCACCTTGCCCGTTTGTCTGTGGATGATAAGGTGTACCTACCTTGTGTCTCACTGATAACAGTTGAAAAACTATTATTTTCATGCTTAAAATTGAGGATATAAAATCAACCCCCCCCCCCCCCCCCCTTTTTTTAATACTTAGAACTACTTGAAAAAACATGTTTTTTTAGTCATATTTTCATAAATAATAGGCTGGACAGGTTTAGGCCTTGATTTCAGTGTTTTTTGAAGCAGGTGTTAAAGGCAGAATTTCGTGAAAGACGTGCAGAAGGCGAGATAATGGGGGGGGGGCCTCAGCACCCGACCTACACCATTCACTCAACATGTGCAAACACCAACACCCAAAGAACAGCCGAAGTTACCTACCGTCAGCTGCACCTGTTTTTTTTTTTTTTTTTTTTTTCAGTAAGCCCACCCCCCCCCCACCACAACGACGGGAGTCCGCTGAGGGTCAACAAATGGCCGCTGAGGGAAGAAACAACTCACGGGCCTCCACCGCTGATCTTACTACCTGCTGAGCGGCACACTTATTGGGCTTGGGCCTAAATTTTTCCGTCTTTTCTGTAATTTTAGAATAGTATATAAGCTTGAGGAGGACGTCCCCCCCTAGGTTTTGTCATCTTTGGCATAAAACCGAAAAAAAGCAAACACTCTCTTCTTTTCCACCCCTTTGAAGGAGGATCTTGGATGCCTCAGTTTTCTCCTTTTTGTTTTTTTTTTTTTTTTTACCCTCTGTTGTTTTTTTTTTTTTCCCCCCCGTTTTTTGTTCACCTTTTCTAGGGTTTTCAATTTTAAAAATCCTTCATTCCTTTTCATTATTGTTTCATCTATAGGTTCACCCCCCCCCCAAAAAACACAATTTTGAAATATGGGTTGACAACTAAAACTTGTATGTTTTTGTTTTTGCGGGAATCAATGTAATCTTTTCCCCCATCCCCACCCCCCCCCCCCCCCCCCCCCCCCCCACCCCCCCCCCCCCCCCCCCCCTTTTTTTTTTTTTAAGCTCTCATAATATGGAATTTAATGCTTGCATCTTAATTAAGCAGTTTAATGCTTTTCTTTCATCATTAGTTTAGGGTTTTTGTTGTTTTCCCTCTTTGCTTAAATTGCTTGCTTTTGGTTTAACTCATTCAATGCATGATTATTGATTTTGTCGAAAAAAAAAATTTTAAACGGGAAAAAAAAAACAAAAACGTCCGGGAAGTCTAGATCCGGGGAAAATCCTCTCCCAATATTTTATTTTTTTATTTTTTGGGTTTGTTGTCGTTTTAAGGCTAGTCCTGTGCTAAGAGAACTAATTTAATTAGGATTTTTTAGGAATCGTATGAAACATCGTAATTTATGGGAGACCGCTTGACAGGTAATTTTAGAAAGTGGCACTTAACAAATGATGATTTGAATGTTGAATTCCTAAAATATATGAGAGTGGATGAGATGAATTTGACCCCCAACAACATATTCATATATATATTTCATTGAAAGTGCTTGTCTTTTGCTTTTGCCATTGATCAAAACCTCATGCATACATGTTTATTTTTTCGTCTTTGGCATATACAGAAAAATCCAAGTACTTACTACTTTACTCTTCCCCCCCAACCCCCCCCTTTACTTTACTACCCCCCCCCCCCCCCCACACCCCCCCCCCCCTCTCGTTCTTAAAGTCTTAGCTAATCAACAAACCACACAACTAAACTAGGCAGGAGTCCCCTCCTTTGGGAGAACGATACCCCCCTTTAAAACTACTTCCCCCCCACTAACCGCCCTACTTTACTTACTTTTGTGTCTTACCACCAAACAAAGGTTTTATTACTTGTAACTATTTCTGTCCTACTTTGTCTATTTTTTTAACCAACAAGTTTTGTGACCTCCATATTTTTGGTGATCATAAATTGTCCATCAAGTTTTTTTTGCCGCGTACCCACCGGGGAACTGTGATTTAACTGGTTAATTTGTGGTGATCTTGATTATCTTTTGACTTATACTTTTGAATTTCCTGTTTTTTATTTTTCGGTTTTTATTTTATTTTATTTTATCTTTTTAGTTGATTTGATTTTTATTTATTTGATTTGCTTTTTTTAATTTTATTTTTATCTGTCTGAATCTTTTTCTCTTCTCCTAACAAATAAAACTTTTCCTTTTTTTTTTGTGGCTAACAAATATTTTGTTCCCACCTAGGGTTTTTGTTTCCTTGTGTGCAGAAAAGCAATTAGACACAAGAAGCAAGAACAACAGAAACCTCTTCTTGAAGGTCTAACGAGAAGTAACGGAGGAGAAAGAATCCGGAACATCTAGAGCAACTTTTTCCCCTTCTCACTTCCCACCTTATTCCATAAACTCTCTTTACAATCATCACCACACACCAATTTTCTTGTCCAGAGCAACAAGACAATATGGAGACAACAATGTGAGAATAACTCTTTGCTTTGACGGGGTCCCCCCCCCCCCCCCCCCCCACACCCCCTAAGAACGCTTGCTGACTACAACCAATCTAAAACACCCAGCTGGAACCTCAGCACTGTTAACAGTATAGCTTTAGACCTATAGTCCAATGCAGCTAATATGGGGGGGGGAAGGTCCAAACCCTCACTGATTTTTCAACTGGTGAAAAGCAACCAATTTTAAATGGGTTTATCCTCCATGAAAGCCCATATGAGCACCTCACTAAACAACCCTATTTTGTTTGTTTTTTTTTTTTTCCAATGAGATTTGCAACAAACACAGTAAAGAATTAAATTTATTTTTGGGGTGCCCGACGAAGCTAGATCAAACTTTTAGCTTGTTTCGCTTTCTCAGAAACACCCCCTCATTGGGAGGGGCAATGCTTAGCTTTGGTTGAATTCTTTCCCATAAGAAATTTTCACCACAATAGTGGGAACGTTGGTTACAAATTTTAAACAAGTACTACTTCCCACAACTAGGGTGACAAAAAGGCAGCAAGAAGATTTTTTCTTTCTTTCTTCATTTAAACAGGGCATGGAAGCATCACTAGGGCAATGCATATGGAACAGGTTATACAGCTTTTTGTTTACGTAAAACTCAAAACTCCCACGCCTGTTTTTTTGAGATCATGAAGTAAAGTCCTAAACTTTTTTCCTTGGGAGGGCGTTTGGTTCAACAAACCACGATGAATGCTGACGCCTCAGTCAGAGGCAATATTAAATGGAAAACTCCAAAGGAAGCAACAGAGATTATAGAAAACATGGCTACTAGTGATAATGAGCTACACAATGAGAGAGGAGATCCTATGCAACAAAAAGGAGTTCTCCAATTACAGACACATGACGCCCTGCTAGCTCAAAACAAAACTCTAACTCAACAGCTGAAGACTCTGACTAAAACTCTTGCACAATTACCCAAAGAGTTGAAAACTGCTGCACAGGTACAATCCCAGTTGTTGCGAATTGTGGTGGAGGCGACCATATCAATTTGGTCATGTGCCTTTCTAAGTGAAGCCGTAGAGTATTGTTTAAACTACTGACATTCAGTAACCGGTCAAGAGAGATACAATCAGTGGTGGGGAAACCACAACCCATAGTGGGTTCAAGGGCAACTGGGCAGCTGGTCAATATAATAAGCAATCGCAGCAACCCACCTTTATGGCAACCAATTTATCTATGCTTTTAATGAAGGTTCCCATGAGGATGGAGGAAACTCCCTCAACAAGTTTCCATACAGAAGGACTTAGTTCCCCTTAACAAACAAAAAGAAGCCACTGAAGCTGGCTATTTTGTAAAAATTTTGGGAGGACTCAGATGGGTCGATCCAACCAACAGGGGAAGAAAGGCCACTAGAAATTTTTTGGGCTAATACTGAGGTTAACCCCAGAGAAAGAGCGCAAGGTTGGTAGAAGTGGTTTGATGATGAGACACGTTTTTGAGTTAGATATACAGAAGAGAGAAGAGAATAGAGAGCAATAGCCACCTTTTTTTTCCTTTTCCAATCCATCCAAGGGAAAACAACTGGACTTTTCACATCAACAAAGTTGTTTTTATTTCACAATGGTGGATAATGAATGCACCCTTGGGAACAGATTCCTAACAACAGATTACGATTTTACCACTAAATCTAATGAAGAAATCTCTTACAAAGAAGAGACGTAGAGATGATGAGGCCAAAGGAGTTGGGGTATAACTGTTTAAAAAAAAGAGGTCCCCCCCCCACACCCCCACACCACCAAATTAATTTCACCCGTATTTTTTTCCCCCCCCCTATATTTTTTCCCTCCTAAAGCTAACAAACCAATTCCCAGGCATTGTTTTTTCCTATCCCCTTTTGTACATAAGGGAAGAAAAGGGTGAAGAAAGCTCTTCTTTTTTGTTTAGGTTTTTCAATGGTTTTTTTAACTTGATACCTTACCTCTTTTTTTATTCTGAGCAAATCGGGCAATGTTTTTAATGTGGAAACCTGTAAAGGTTTAATTTCTAGTAATGGCGAATTTGGATTGATGTGACAAATTTTTTATGATCACCAAATTTAATGAATGTCACCAAAACCTTGTTTTTTCAACAATTTCCGGCAAGTTATGACCGAATCGTTTTTTCAAGTAATAAACTTGGTAAGACCAAGTATCGTTCTCCCAAAGGACTCACGGGCCTCGTTTATTTGTTGTGGGTTTGTTTGATTAGCTAAAGACTTTAAGAACGAAGATTTTTTTTTGAGTATTAATATGCAAAACAGAATAAACATGTATGCCATGAGTTTTTTGATCAATGGCAAAAGCAAAGAATAAAACACTTTCAATGAAATATATAATGATGAAAGATGTTGTTTGGGGGTTTTTTCAATTTTTCAACATCTCATCCACTCTCATAATATTTTAGGGAATTGCACATTCAAATCATCATTGGTTGATTAATGCCACTCTCCTAAAGTACCATTCTCGATGGCTTCCTTCTCCCTAACTTCCTTTCTTCCTTCTCCCTATCACTAGTTCATACAATTCCCTCAGAACCTATATGACAGTTTCATAAGTGCAGGAGCTTAACCGACAACCACATAATATTGGGAGAAATGCCCCGGATCTTTCACCCCCCCCCCCCCCCCCCCCCCCTATGTAAGACTTCCCCTTACGTGCCCCCGTAT